GCCTAAAACAAAGATGGAATCTTAAAGCCAAAGGAATAAAGACCCCTGATAAAGGTAACTACCTAGGTAAATATAAAAGCCAATATTGTTGTGTTTTGTTTTGTGACTTTTTTACACGATTTGAAAGGAAAATGAATAAAATAGAAATTATAAGTTTATGTCACTATATGCACAATATATAAAGTTATAATTTCTGACAACAGCACACAGGGGAGTGTGAAATCCATGGGAACAGAGATTTTAGAAACTATTGAAGTTAGATGGTATTACTTTAAAGTGGCTCATTATAAATTTAAGATGTGAATTGTAACCTCCAGATGACCACTAAGAAAATTATGCAAAATATATACAGAAAAAGAAATCAAATTCAACTAAGAATCAATTAAACATAAAAGAAAATAATAAGGGAACTGAGAAAAAAATAAATATGACATATAGAAAAATATATCAAAATGGCATACATAAGAACTTCCATGTCAGTAACTGCTTTAAATGCAAATGGAAAAAAACACTAATCAAAAGTCAGAAATTGGCTGAATGAGGAAAAACAAAGATACCAAAAAATAAACTTGATCCAGCTATGTCTACAAGAGACTTATTTTAGATGCACCGACAAGAAAAAAGAAAAGAAAAGCCATCCAAATCAGAAATGAAGAAGTAAAATCACTCCTAATTTTATATGACATAGCCCTGAAAATCCACAAAAAAAAAAAACCTATTAGAGCTAATAAATGAATTCAGGAAAAAAAAAAACAGTTGTAATTTCATATGCTAGCAATGAACAATATGAAAAGGAAATAAAGGAAATTAAGAAAATGACTCCATTTATAATTCCTATAAAAAGAATAAAATACTTAGGAATAGGTTTAACCAAAGAGCTGCAAGACTTGCACTGAAAACAGTAATACCTTCCTGGAAGAAAATCTAATAAATGAAAAGGTACCCTTTATGTAGGAATTGGAGAACTTAGTATTGTCAGATAGTATTTTTACCCAAAGTGATTTATAGGTTTAAGGCAATCCCTATCAAAATCCAGTGACCTTTTTTTTAGAGTTGGAAAAGCTGATCCTCAAATTCATAAAATTGCAAGGGACCTCAAATAGTAAACAAACAAATAAGCAAACAAAAAAGACAAAACTAAAAAAAACCCACAAACTCTTAAAAAAATAACAAAAAAGATTCATGCATGCTGAGTCCAAAAGTTACTACAAAACTACAGTTATGACAAAACAATGGGGCTCTGACATTGGGATAGACATGTAGAATGATGGAATAGAATAAAAATACATAAACAAACTCATATATCTATGGTTAATTATTTTTGGCAAAGGGCTAACACTACTCAATGAGAAAAGTATAGATTCTGTAATAATTAGTGCTAGGACAACTGGGCATCCACTTACAGAAGAATGAAGCTGGACTGTTAGATCACATACAAAATTTAAGAAGAATCAATGGCTTAAATATAAGAGATAAAACACTAATACTTAGAAGGAAACATAGGGATACATCTATGCAACCTTGGACTTAGCAAGAGTTGTAGATATGACATCGAAGCACAACCAACAAAACAGAAAATAGCTAAATTGGACTTCACCAAAATTAAAAATGTTTGTTGTCAACTGACACTATCAGGAGAGAGAAAAGACAACCCATATAGTTGATCAGGATCTATTACTGAGACTATATGAGGAGCCCTTATGTTTCAACAATATAAAGAGCCCGTACAGACCTTTCTACAAAGAAAATATACAAATGACTGACAAGCATATGAGAAAATGTCCAACATCATTAGTCATTAGGTAAATGCATACCAAAATCACAATGAAATACATTTCATACACATTAAGATGTCTATAATTTAATGCAAAACAAAACAACAGAAAACAAGATATACTGGTGAAGATGTGGAGTAATGGAACCCTCATACCTTGTTAATGGCAATGTGAAATGGCACAGCCACTCTAGAAAATAGATTCATTTCTCAGTAAGTGAAACAGAGAATTACCATATGACCTGACAATTTTCTTTCTAACATATGCTTTAAAGAATTACACATTTTTGATTATACATTTGTAAAAGAATGTTCATAGTTATACTATCCACAATAGCCAAATATCAACCAATTGATAAATGGATTAATAAATAGCAGTATAGCCATACAATGGAATATTATTCAGCCATAAAAAGGAATGAAATACTGCTACCTGCTACAACACGATTAACTCTGAAAACATTATGCTAAGTAAAAGAATCTAAACGTCAAAGAGCACATATTATGTGATTGCATTTGTGTGCAATATGCAGAAAATATAAATTCATTAGGACGGAAAGCAGATTATTGGCTGCCAATGGATTCGGGTAGGAAGATGTAGAGAGTGACTGCTTACTGGGTATGGGGTTTCTTTTTGGCTTGATGAAAATGTTTTGGAACCAGGAATTTCAGAACCCCCTTCCAAGTTAAAAAAGAAAAAAATGGTAAAATTTCTCTAATTATAATAATCCAGTTCTCCTTTTCTCTAAATTGCTGCATTAAATGTTCTTTATCATACAGACCATTTTATTTTTAAGTCTTTTCTATGAATCATTTGATCGTCTATCACCTTGTCACTTTATTTTTTTATTTTTAATTTAGAGATTTAGTAACTACATTTTTTTCATTTCTCTTAGTTAATTGATTTCAGCTATTCTAACTTAACTATAAATTCCTTTCTTTGTTAACCTATGACATGTAATTTCTTAAACATAATCTGTGAATTCTCATCATAGTTCTTCAATATTGAATTATTTAAATATGAGTTATTGAAATAAATTATGCCTTAAGTATTGCATATTCTGATTCATCAGTTTTAAAACTGAATTGTAAACCCATCATAATTAATATTTTATTTCAAAGGCACACAGGGGGTAAATTACAAAAAAAAGAAACATTTTGTTTTATGAAGTCCAAATATATTACTTATGTGGATAAAGATAAAGACTAAGAAAATAGTCACAGATGGAGAGCAGAATAAATATTTTTTATTATTAACGTGCTATGCTCTCCATGTTTCTTGGAGAGTATATTCACTTACTTACCAATTAATGTGTTTGCTCTCTTCGAGATATATTTAGGTATATGGTACTATCAACCTGGGAGAGCACTAAGTAAACAGCTCAATCTACCTTCTCAAATTACTATATTATGGAAGTGTACAACATACTTTACTATGATTTCTTTGGAGCAATTATTTCTATCACGGTGGTCATAAAATAATAATTGATCACCCGTGTAGAGGTGATCTTAAACTACTAAATAGTGGTATGTCTCTCTTCCCTGAAGGAATATGTGATTTATGTAGCTAGGAGAGCATATTTTTTTAATTATTACAACCGCCTCATGATTTGTATGGACTTGTGGAGGATAGAAAAGTTTACCTCTATTAATATTTTTTTGATTTTCTATTTTTAAATAAAATTTTAGATTTGTTAAAGGTCTAAGATAGCACCGGGGATTGATGTTTTTTTTACCCTGAACCACTTGAAAAATAATCCCAAATAAATATACATTGTTCCTTCTATGCCTTCCACATAGTATGAGTACTTGGCTATTTAATTTAGGATTGCTGTACTAACAGATAATTGTTCAACAAACTTCTTCTAATCATGTGCTCATATCGATTGAAAGACTGAAATTAACAAATTATACTTTTAAACATGGTCTATACGTGGTATACATGTAAATATCTATACTTGGGAAAATTATGATTCCTTTAGTTATTAGGGATCTGACCCAGATGGACTTATGCTAAAAAATAATTGATAATGGGGCACCTGGGTGGCTCAGTCAGTTAAGTGTCTACCTTAGGCTCAGGTTATGATCTCAGGGTCCTGGGATCGAGCCCCACATCGGGCTCCCTGCTCAACAGGGAGTCTGCTTCTCCCTCTCCCTCTGCCTCTCCCCCTGCTTGTGCACTCTCTCTCTATCTTTAAATAAATAAATAAATAAATAAATAAATAAATAATCTTAAATTAAAAAAAACCTTTAAAATCATCAATAAATTTTTTTTTAAGATTTTATGTATCTATTTGAGAGAGAGAGAGAGAATGAGAGATAGAGAGCATGAGAGGGAAGAGGGTCAGAGGGAGACACAGACTCCCTGCCGAGCAGGGAGTCCGATGTGGGACTCGACCCCAGGACTCCAGGACCATGTCCCGAGCCGAAGGCAGTCGCCCAACCAACTGAGCCACCCAGGCGCCCCTCATCAATAAAATTTAAAATCTTATTTTCAGTATACCATGGAAGAATAGAAGTTGGTATGATTGTTTTTAAGCAAAACTGGATCCAGGGCTTAAATGTGATTACCCAAACTCTCTCTGTTATTCCCTCTTCTAGCTGATCTTTCCTTTTATTGGCCTTATATTTAACACTCCAAAAATTTATTGTAAGACAAAAACAACTTGAGCAATGAACAGAAACCAGATTCATGTTCTTTCAGTATCATAATCCTAGAGTCCAGAGGGTCTGTCTCATTAATTATAGAAGAATTTTTTTTTGGAGGCAATTGTTTGGCATCTTTTGTCTTATTACTCCCACTACACTGCTTTGTGGTGGTTAGGAGGAAACTGATAGCCTGTGGTTTGTTATTTGAAAAAGCGGTAAAGGTAAATATTTTCCAAAAATAAGCATTATTCTGTATAAAAAACATATAAATGTAAACATACACACACCAAAAAGACCACACTAAGACTGAAGAATCCTACTAATTTTTTTTTCTCATTTATATGGTGAGCTAGTATATGAGTTGAGGAAGGGAAATGTAGATATGAATTATAATTTGATATACACTAACTTTCACATCTGTTCCCTATGAACACCTGCATACCTTTTAATGAAGTTCAACAATCATCTTTTTAAATAATTATTTCTTAGAATGGGACCAAGAAACTAAATCAACATATTAGTTCATAAGAGTAGCACTTTAATCCATTTTTAAAACTGTAGAACTTTGGAACCAAAAAAGAACTTAGAGATCATTTAACCCAGACTAATTCAGTTACAGATGAGGAAACTGATTCTTAGGTTAAATAGTTGTCCCAAGTCGCACAAGAGATCTTAAGCAGTTGCAGAACTTACATCTTTGTTTAGGAAGCCACCATCAAGACTGAGATGTGCAAAAATTATGATTCACCTTAACAAGAAAATAATGCTGGTTTAGGGAAGCAGATACAATTTGCATCTAAATGTATAGATATCAGGTACGAACAAACGTAGATTGTTGCTCTGACAACTGTTGTCTCTCTGTCCACACAAGTTCCTTTAAGCTCCAATCTTTTGCCAGAGAGATCTGCCAAAGGAAACCCTAATTTATAACATGCAAGAAAAAAATTTTCCAACTGATCAAAAAACAGATAAGGAAATACAGTATCACAAGAATTAAAACCAAGGACAGATAAGAGCCAAATAGCACTGATGTATTTCAGAGATGTACCGAATAATATCTTTGTTCTTTTTAAAACTTTTGTCCAGCATCAAGATTTCCAAGAATAATCTTCTAATTGACTAGTAAGAAGGTAACTATCTACTGTTTTCTTACTGCTACACTGTTTCTCATTCTAACCCCAGTCATGAAAACATTTAGAAATTCTGAAGAAAAATACAAGATAGTGTCCTTACTGACCTAGATAGGTAGATAGATAAATACAAACAATAAAATACAATTCTAATTATTTTCCTTGCATTTCCTAGAGTTTTATTAAAGTAATTGTCCTGTTTAAAAGTAGTACATTTACCTCTTCCTATAAATACTGACACTTTTGTCTTCACCTTAAAGTAACCATTAATCAGACACGCATATGTAGCATGAATAACTCATTAAAGAGAAAAAATATCAATTTTAAATGGAAATTATATCAATTCATGTCTTGAAGGTAATATTATTATTACTAAAAATAAAAGCATTGATTATGTGCATACTGAAACAAATAAATAAATATTAAGTGGCTCACAGGGATTATTTCATTCAATCATCACAAAATCTTTTAGAGATTACATGGTTGTTAGCAGATAGAAAAGCAAGAGTTGAACAGGATTGTTTAATTCAAGAACCCAAACTATTATCTATTACACTATAACTGATATAAAAATAGGTTCTATAGCAAAAAATAATCACTAAAATTCTCAAGAAACAAAATAATACAAAATACATATACAAAAATATATAAAAATTAAACTGACAAATATCTAAGTAGAACATTCATGGTATATTTTACTCTATTTGCATAGAGGCAAATGCTCCAATTCATACATATGTGAATAAAAATATGCATCAATAAAATAAAATTGTAGGGGCGCCTGGGTAGCTCAGTTGGTTAAGCAACTGCCTTCGGCTCAGGTCATGATCCTGGAGTCCCGGGATCGAGTCCCACATCGGGCTCCCTGCTCGACAGGGAGTCTGCTTCTCCCTCTGACCCTCTTCCCTCTCGTGCTCTCTCTCTCTCAAATAAATAAATAAATAAATCTTTAAAAAATAAATAAATAAATAAATAAAATAAAATTGTAGCACAGTAAATCTTTGGAATGAAAAGAAATTGAGAAATAAGCAAAAAGGGGTACTTATAATAGGTTTAGTGATTTATTTGAATAGAATTTAAGATATTAGAGATTTGATAAAATTTACAATATTATAAAATGTATTACTATTTTCAATCTTACTTTTATGAAAATTAATGTGTAATATAAAGAAATTTGGGATTAAGTAAATTTGTAATAATGTACTTAAAGCCCCAAAATAATGAGTTTGTCGTGGCACTGGTTTCAGAAAACAGTAATTCAAAATTAATTGAAAAGTCCAAGATTTAGTGAGAATAAAACATAGTTTTTAAATTCCTTCCACATTAAATTGATATCATCTTAAAATCAGAATGAGACATTTGGTTAGATTCCTTGTAAAATTAATATACATATCTCTTAAGAATATATTATATTATACATGTTACTTTTAAATTACATAGAATAAAACTTCAATTTTAGATATATATTACTTTATTTGATTAAGAGAAAATAATTAAATCTGTATTTCATTTTTAAAAGCCTCTAAAGGATATATTTATATGTAAACTATAAAATATTGGATGGTAATCTTTTTTATTTTCATATCATTTGTTCCCCATTTGTTCCCCATCCCCTGTCTTATTTCTGTCAGTCACGTATCAAAAGCTACCACTGTCAAGTTTTCTATAAGCCACACTATCAAGTCTATTTAAGACCTTTTAATTACAAATATATATTTGATTATTGTTTTAATTTATATAAACATATCACACTTTTCATATAAGTCTGTGTCAAACATACACTTTGTATTTTTCTCATTATAAAAACATATATGTGTATACATATACACATATATATATACACACACATATATATAATCATTGTATATATGATCACTATCATCAAAAGTTCTTTTGGTATGATATAATTATGCTGTTTCTAATAGGTAATTATTTGTTTTTATATCTCATTATATATATTTATGACTAACTTCCAGTGCCATCAGGGAAGTGTTGATATTTTAAGATAAGAGCCATTCGGAAATTTGCATTCATACTTATGATAAAATGTTCCTGGAAAATTTCTAAACCACATCTTTCTTCGCAGAACACACCTTATGTGATTCTTAGGATCAAAATGCCTAGTATTAATTTGTCTGACAAAAAGAACAAATATATAGACTTAATAACTTAACTTAAATAACTATTATCAAAATGCTGCTTAGACTATATTCTGTATATATGAATCCAGTGTGAAAAAAATAATAAATTTGTGAAAGATACCTGAATGCATAATAAAGAATTCTCATCCCTGCTTTTATTACTAAAAATGGACCTCAGATAGATGACAGAAAATATCCAAGAAAAGCATCCAAAATATAGTAAGCATGCCAAATCACAGACACATTGAAATGTTTACGATTATGAATTCCAATTTTTATGACCAGGGCAATGAAGTAGAATATGTGATCAGTACCATTAAGAGTGTACAGAACTGGGGCACCTGGGTGGCTCAGTCGTTAAGCGTCTGCATTCGGCTCAGGTCATGATCCCAGGGTCCTGGGATCCAGCCCTACATCGGGCTCCCTGCTCCGCGGGAAGCCTGCTTCTCCCTCTCCCACTCCCCCTGTTTGTGTTCCTGCTCTCGCTGTGTCTTTCTCTGTCAAATAAATAAATAAAATCTTAAAAAAAAAGAGTGTACAGAACTGACAAACAACAGCAACGACAAACTAGAAGCTTTTTAAAAATGTTGGCAGGATGGTTTTTGGTGAAACTAAAAGAATTAAACATTGCTTTCATTATAGCAGAGCATCAAAATTTCTGAAACTAATAACCTAGAGAAATTTCTTAGGCTTAACAGAAGAAATTGAGAAATATAATAAAATTATGAGACTCAAAGTTCAAACTACTTTCTACTTACTGATTTCTTTTTCAGCGTTCTGACTCAGGAGAGCTGTAGTAACCAGGAATAGTAAGTCATTCCATTCTGACTATCCTCTTCTCTATTAGTTTCAAACACTGAAACACAAAAAGTAATAGAAATGTTCGTTGAAGTATACAGTGAAGCACTCTAAAGATAGATAAAACTTGACACATTAGATTATTAAAAATATTGGTGCTAGAAATATCATCACATGAAAACATTGCATTAGGTACTTCTAAAGAAACTTTAATTAATTGGAGAATGCTACATATATACTGATGTATATCAGACCAACCTGATCAATTTCCTTTATTTCTCCATAAAGTGTTTCTCAAGTTGGAAAACAGAGAAATAGAAAGCAAAAGACTTCAGAATTACTTAGGGAAGGAATAGGTTATGCATGCTATTGATTCTAAAATAGAGTCACTATTACTTTCAATACTTGGCTATCTTGTTCCAGCATTTCTCAGTCTATATCCCTTCTAATGTAATTTTATATCCTTAATTATCTCGTTCTTGTGACAGATTTCTAATTTTTATTACAATTCCTTTTCATTCTTGTGATTGCAGACACTAAATCACACTTATATTTTCAAATGACTCTTTAAGTTTAAAAGCTGGGGGCGAGGTTTTGTTTCTTTTTTCGCCTAATCTCCAAAATTGGGGCTTTTATACAATCTCAGTCCATCCATGCATTGCCTCTGAAACCAAAGCCCTCCCTTTGATTTCCACTTTCCTAGTTTAGGGACTCATTAACACTTGCCTGAAGGTCTGAAAGGCTGTCCAAAGGGACTCCCAGGTTTCAGTTTCCTCCATTAGATACAGGAAAGCTGACCCATCTTCATTAAATCAGCTCTGGTTATATTACACCCTACTAACTGAGCTCCAATGTGTACATTTCCTTTATATAATCATCAGTATATATGTAGCATTCTCTGCAATCTAACCAAGACCCATTTTGCCAAATGTATTTCTTCCTACATCCTGAAAACACAGTCTCTATTTCACTCAGTCCTGCAACTTACCTTGCACTTTTCTATATCCATGACCAAGCTGTTTTTCCACATGGAATTATTTGGGGGAGGTGGGTGTATATCTTCCAGTTCTCAACTAAATATTATCTGAATGAAAGATGTCTTTCAAAGTCTGCTTCTTCCATTGTATCATGAAATACTTGAAGACGTAAGTCTTGCTTATTCTCTGAATCCTTACTTCCTCTGGTTTTGTAAAGTAAGCACATGGCATGTCCCAAATAAAAGAATGTTGTATGACTTAATATGAACCTCAGTTAATATCAGTTATTTGGTACTCAAATCATCAATACAGGATGGAATACAGATAATTTTCTATTCTCATTAAAGTTTAATTTTCATTGAGCAACCATTATCAAGCACAAATATTAACTAACACTCAAGTGCACAGATAATATTTGTAAATAGTCTTCTACTTGTCCTTATGTGTAAAATTACATTGTTTTGAAAAAGATAATAAGCATAGTTTGTAAAAATGGAAACTGCATATTGGTAAAAAAACGACCTAATTTTTGTAATTCAATAATTGATTAACCACAATTTTTATTTTTTATTTTTATTTTTTATTTTTAAAAAGATTATCTAGACATTTTTATACATTTTTATATGTACACATACACATTTAAAAGATAATTTAGCCTATATTATTAACATTTTCCTTATGATACAATATAGCTATTTTAATAGCTACTTTATATTACCCTGAACAAATTATCAGGATAATTTACATTTTAAGTGTAAATTGACATTTTTTAAAATATTTTATTTATTTATTTGAGAGAGAATGAGATAGAGAGAGAGAGAGAGAGAGCATGAGAGGGGGGAGGTTCAGGGGGAGAAGTAGACACCCCGCTGAGCGGGGAGCCCGATGCAGGACTCGATCCAGGGACTCCAGGATCATGACCTGAGCCGAAGGCAGTCACTCAACCAACTGAGCCACCCAGGCGCCCTGTAAATTGACATTTAAGATTATTTACATTTTAAGGTGATTTACATTTTTTTAAGTATTATTTTTATACAGTAACCATGAATTTATAGTGCAAACTGTGACACTTTGGAAATAAGAATGATGCTATTCATATTCACTCTAATTATAAACAATATGTATATTTTAAAGATTTATTTATTTATTTATTTATTTATTTATTTATTTATTTAGAGAAAGTATAATCAGGGGGAGGGGCAGCTGGAAAGGAAGAGGGAGAGAATCTCAGGCAGACTCTCTGCTGAGTGTGGAGCCCCACATGGGCTCCATCCCAGGACCCTGATATCATGAACTGAGCCAAAATCAAGAGTCAGATGCTTGACTGATTGAGCCACCCAGGCACCCCTCTAATCATAAACAATATTATAATGAACAACATTGCACACATTTTTGAAGTAAACCACACTATTTTTATCGTGGCTTCTTAAAGTTTGAATTGCTTTGTCAGAATATAAATATTTTTTAAGTCTTCAAACTGTGCTCCCCTCAGAAGTGTATTTTATATTCTGCCACCAGCAATAACAGAAGTAAATATTCCCTGTACTCCCAATAAGCTAGGAGTAGTTTTCTATGTCATAAGTTTAAATAAGGGATCATGTCACAATGTTGATTTGACTTTTATTTCTTTGGATACTGGTAGGTAAAACATTGTTTCATATATTGTTTTGGCTACTAATATTTCTTCTTTAAATTTTTAAAGCTTAGGAAAGTCATGGTTTATTTTTTGTTTGATTTTGTTTTGTTTTGCTTTGAGGTAGAGTTCTGGCTGCATGAACATTGAAGACAACAGAGAACTATAATAGAGTAGTTAAAGTAATCACAAGCTAATGTGATTTGAGATTTATTTTCAACATTGTCTGAGGGTGGAAATATAAAAAAAATATTAAAATATTGGAAAATATAACATTTAATAACTACTGATGATAATATGGTAATTAAGGGTAATAAGATAATTGAGGATAGGATAATAAGGAAATTTATTTTGAATTTATTGTTATAATTATATATTTTAAATGAAAAAGGATAAATGTATTAGCCGAAGTTCCTCATTACACATACTACTTTTGATCAGATTGATTTATTTAGTATTTTATATATCAGCCTATAAAGGTAATATAAAGTTTAAGTCAGGCTGGAGTGGTTGCATTTGAAAAGAACACCGCTTGATTTACTTTATAATGTGTTCTTTATTTTATTTTTTGTTAAGAACATGAGTCAGGAAGTCAGAAGCCTTCTGAAATACAAGAATAAAACAGAAAATGTCAATTTTGTGAATATGAATGAGTACCAAGCTGCCTCTAAAGGACATTTGAATTATTATCAGAAAATTTTTATAGATGGTATGAACTGAATAGATTGCATTCTGACCAAAGAATCATTTTAACCAGAAAAAAAATGAGCTGAGCTATTGATAGGAATATCTGTTAGAATACAATCAAATTGAGAAAAAAATTAATTATTATTTCTCATTATATCAGTACTGGCTAAATTCTAAAATTTACTCTGTCTTATGTAGGGTATGGATGTCAAAGTCAAAGGTGGTTCATTTAGCTATAATTAGCTTTTTAAATGTTTACTTTCTTTTAGTATTTGAGCTAAATATTACTTTGGAAGACTAACAATCCATCTCAAATAGTCTTTTCCCCTTATAATTAGATTAATATTGAGTTGCTATAGTCAGATCAAGTTAAATAGTTACAACAGTTTTTTTAATGCAATTGAATTACTGTGAAAATTATTGATAACTACTAATCACTTGGGGACACATATCTAGATAAATGTCAAGTTAACCATATAATTATTCCAATTGAATATGTAATAGAAGTAACTTAATATATGTTAAACTACCTTAATTATGTAGCTTTGTGTCCTGCAGACTTTGCAAACATGCAAAGAGGAGGAAAATATAAATATTCTCATATTGTTTGTGGTTGAATTTTGTTCCAAGATATTCTGAGAGATAATAGAAAAAATGTAGTCATGAAATATCACATTTTGTTCAGCACTGCATTGCTATAAAATATCTTGCTGTCATGGACACTAAAACCAAATTTGTCATTCAAGACTGTAGCTTTACCAGAGGTAATGAATCTGTTAATTCAAACATGATTCTCAAAATTCAATTAAATGTAGCTGACACAATCATGTTAAATGTACACATCACTTCTGAGGACACATTGCAGTGAGTCTGTTCTTAGTATTCCCCTGCCAAACTATTACCACTTATTCTGCTGTAAATTCGGTAACTTGCAAGATTAAGTTGCTATTTATTTTAATTATTCTACATGAAGCTTTTAGAAATATCCAATTCTATTTTTAGTCTCTTTCCAACTTTCTAGTATTATCTGTAAGTCTATTTGGAAAATCTTTGTTGTATCCTCAGTATATATTTCAGAATACAATGACCTTAATTAACTTTATATCATTTACTTATAATGAAAAACAATCAACTATGTTATGGATCATCTGTTGGTTACTCAGCTATTTAAATATTATCTATAATATCAAAAATTTAAATGGAATCTTGGATCTTATAATAAAACAAAGGGTAAAGACACACATAGAATCTTTGATTCATAAACTTTTATTACTTTAAAACATTTTGGATATATTTTGATAGATAATATACATTAATATAAATGCAGATGATATAAACATAGAAATAAAATATTATTTGGTGATTTAAAATATTCAGATATATGAATGCCATATGAATTTTCTGTTTATTTGATGTTCATCCTCATTGGAATATGAGCTTCAAACTTCAAACAAAAAACTAAACCACTCGTTTTAAATTCAATTTCAGAATGTCATATTTTGCCTATGGTTTGTTTCTCTAATGAATTAAGATTTATTCATTCAATTATTTATTTACTATATTGTGTGGACTATCTAATTTGGTCTAGGCTCCTTTTAAGTATTAGGGGACACAGCAGTGGACAAAATAGAAAGATTATATCTGTTCTTGTGGATTTCATTGCTGAGTGATAATGTCATAGTAAGAAAACAACAACAACAACAAAACCTCAATTACATGAACAGCCACGAAAGAATAGCAATGAAGGAGCTAGTTCTCAAT